GAGGTTGCGGTGAGCCGAGATTGCGCCATTGCACTCCAGCCTGGGTAACAAGAGTGAAATTCCGTCTCAAAAAAAAAAAAACAAAAATCTAAATCAGCTGGGCGGTGGCTCATGCCTGTAATCCCAGCATTTTGGGAAGTTGAGGTGGGCAGATCACCCGAGGTCAGGAGTTCAAGACCAGCCTGGTCAACATGGTATCTCTACTAAAAATACAAAAAAATGGCCAGGCGTGGTGGCTCACGCCTATAATCCCAGCACTTTGGGAGGCAAAGGCGGGTGGATCGGGAGGTCAAGAGATCGAGACCATCCTGGTCAACAAGGTGAAACCCTGTCTCTACTAAAAATACAAAAATTAGGTGGGCATGATGGTACGTGCCTGTAGTCCCAGCTGAGGGACTCGGGAGACTGAGGCGGGAGGCGGAGGTTGCGGTGAGCCGAGATTGTGCCATTGTACTCCAGTCTGGGCAACAACAGCAAAACTCCGTCTCAAAAAAAAATTAGCTGAGCATGGTGGCGTGCACCTTTAGTCCCAGAGGCTGAGGCAGGGGAATCGCTTGAACCCAGGAGGTGGAAGTTGCAGTGAGCCGAGATCGTGCCACAGCACTCTAGCCTGGGTGACAAGAGCGAGACTCCATCTCAGAAAAAAAAGGTGAGTCAATCATTTCTTACCTTTTGGCTAAGATCAAGTGTAAAAGTTACATTAGCACCTGTTACTCACCTGTTGTCTCTGAACTTGCTGACCCCACCCACGGGTCCTCTGTTTTGCTTGCTCTCTGAAAAGATACCTGCCTCTGGACATTCAGGCGGCTCCACCCCATCCCCTCCTTCCTCTGCTTTCTGTGACTGTCCCTGCCATTTTCCCCCCAGGGCAGGAGCTTGGCCTCTGCTGGTCTCTTCCCTCCCCAGCACCTGGCACAGCTGGTTCATGATAGGCCTTAGATACCTGTGTCAGGGAGATAAACCTGACACCCTGAAAGATTATATCCCATCTCTTTTATTTCCTGATCCTCTCAGGAGAGACAAGAGAAAGCTCTGGGCATCCTGACATACCTGGGCCAGAGTGCAGCGGAGGCCCAGACTCAACCCCCTTGGTACCAGCTCCCACCAGAGCGAGGGGGCCACCCACCTGGCCCAGCCCCAGATGAGAAGATCAAGAGCCGCCTGGACCCTCTGCAGGAGATGCAGAAGCATCTGGGGAAGAAGAGACGGCACAGCAGTGATGAAGGCAATCACAGCAGAAAGGAAAAGGAGGGGTCTGAGAAACAGCGACCCAAGGGGTAAGAAGGAGGACCCTGCCCTGGCAGACCAGGACCCAGATCTTCAGGGCTTGGCAGCAGCCTAGCATAGGCACAGCAGGAGCTCTGGTTGGAACAGTGGTTCTCAACATGTGGTCCAGGGAGCCCCAGGGGTCCTGACTCCCTTTCCCGGGCGTGCCATGGCGTCAAGCCTATTTTCCTAACACAGTTTGCCTTTTACACTCATTCTCAGGCAGGTAGTGCAGGTTTCCAGAGTACATGATAAGAAGACACCCTTACTGTGATGGGTAATGGCACAGATACTTATGTCCAAGTTTTCTTAGTTTTCACTTCTGATTTGCATTATATTAACAGAACCCATTTAAACAAAAGTTCTTGGGATCCTCAGTTTTTAAGAGTATAAAGGGGTCCTGAGACCAAAGAGTTTGAGAACCGCTGGGTTAGACTGTAAAAGCAGGCTTATATCCCCAGGATACTGTACCGCTGCTCTAGAGAGGGTACACTGCCTGTAATCTTTTTTTCTCCAGAAAGGGAAGCTGAGGCCCAGAGAGAGCCAGGGGCTGCCCAGTGTGCTTTCTTGATGTGGAGGAGCATCACATTTTAAAGACTGGGGAGGAATAAAGCCCACAGGAAGGCAGGCCAGAAACATGCCCATGGCGTCCCAGCACCAAGTGGCTTCTTCCAGCAGGCCCTAAGAGCCAAGGCTGGGGTGTGCTGGATGCAGGCCAGGGTTCCTGGTGGCAGCTCCCTCTGGGAGAGTCTGGGGGAACGGCCTCCTAGGGGGACTACCAGCTTTCTGACCTCAGTCCTCTCCCTGCAGGCCTCCATCCCTGGACCAGCTTCGAGCTGAACGTCTTCGGAGGGAAGCAGCCGAGAGGGCTCGAGCGGAGGCCCTGCTGGCCCGGGTCCAAGGCCGGGCACCACAGGAGGGTAAGCAGGAAGAGGAAGAGACAGATGACCGGCGGCGGCGGTACAACTCCCAGTTCAACCCCCAGCTGGCCCGGCGCCCCCGCCAGCAGGACCCTCACCTTGCTCACTGACTCCTGAGGGGGTACAGGAGAGGCCGCTACTGCCAGCCGTCATATAAAACTATTTATTCATAAATATTTTCCAAAATGAAAATAGGTTTACCAAAAAATGTCCCTCACTGGGGAGGGGAGGAGGGGGCATCCCTCGCCCCCGGGCCCCCAGGGTGGGGCTGAGAAGAAACCTCCCGGCCCCTTCCCTGCTTCCTGGGAGAGGGGGATGCCCCGTGGCCTGGGGCCTCCCTCCAGTCTTCCAGGGCAGGGCCCTCACCTGGGCAGGGGATCAGCATGCGGGGGAGGGGGTTGGTAGAGGGAGGGGCCGGTGTCACTGGAGGTCCCGGTCCTCCAGGTAGCGGTACTCAAAGGTGAAGCCTTCCTTCTTCCGCTGGCC